TGCTTGGATCGGCTGCTCCCCATACACGTGCCAAGTACCGGGGTGTGTTGGTGTTCCCCTCGGCATTGTCGGTTCAACTGTTCTGCAATTCTTGGGCTGTTCGTGATCCAGCCTGTTTGTTTCTTCAGAATGCCTCCTGCTCGATCGTGCAGTCCAAATTGGCATTGGTCACATTTGGCAAGAATGCAATTTTCCTTGTGGATGATCTTCTGAAGTCCTCTTTCCATCCAAGCTCTGGAAATCATTGGTTGTTCCAGAAGGTAGATGCCGCCATATTCCTCAATGATCTCGACAATTTCGCATGCAAAATGTAGCAGCACCCGAGCCTCTCGAAGTCTTTTCTTGAAGTTCTCCTTTTCGACGTTCATATTCTGCATGATTGAGAACAGGGTGCATGGTGGTAAGATGACAGTCAATCCAGGTCGTTGTTCCCGGAAAAATCGTTTGACCCCGTCTCGTTCTCCAGGATTCAGCAATTGAGCACCGAGTTCTAGATCAAAGGCAGCGGCAGCAATCAGTCCTGAACGTTTGCAATGGGGCGCGAAGCGCTTTGGATTGAAAATATCAGCAACTGTCTTTGGGGATCCCTTGATCATCTTAGCATAGTGCCGATGAACTGGATTTGATGCGATCTAAATCTTTTGCAATGGCGCAAATTGGCTCATCTGCACTCAAGAGACCCATCAATTCTGTCAAATAGGACTCCGCATTCCGAAGAGATGCTTCCATGGCCTTATAGTTTTTCTCCGGAAGGTCACTCTCGATGGTGGTACTTTCGTTGATCCTTTTGATTCTTCCATTTCTGGTATTCGAGGAACTCCTTGAACTCCTCCGACTTCTCCTCTTCGGTCTCCCCGGCTGACTGGATCTCCTTCTTGATCTCCATCTTGGTTGTGGTGTCTGGTGCATCTGGTTTCCTCGCCGATTTCAGCATTTTGTGACACATCAGGCACTTCTCCACCAAAACGAATCCGTTAGTCCCCCGTTTGGTCGTCTTGGTGTGCTTGCAGTTCTCTGGGTCGATCAGGCCCAGTTTCTCCCCTTTCTCCTCGATCTCCTTGGAAGTCTCTTTTCGATTCTTGTTCTTTGAGATCGGACGAGTCTTGGGTGTTGGCACTGGCTCCTGTAGTATCGTCGGTGTCATCGGTGATCCTGGAGAATTAAGGATGGTAGCTGAGAAAGCGTTTCTCCTTGGAGGTGGTTCGAGGTCATTCGAGGTGCTTGCCAGGCGTTGCTGGAGAATTCGTCTGTTCGGTGGATGGATTGGCTCTCTCTGTCGGCGTGGGCCACAGGGTGTAAGCTTTGTTTCTCAGCTTGAATTGTTTCCCACCCAGCATCCTCCGGATCTGTCTCGACCTCGTAGGCTTCCTCCTCCAGCGTTCCGCTCTTGCGACGCTCTCCAAGAAGATCTAGAGCCAACTCGCTCAACTGAATCATCACGAAGAGGAGCTTGGTCACCAGACGTGCCCAGATGGACACATAGCGGCTCTCCTTGACTCGGCTGCGCTTCATGACAAGGAAGTGGAGGAGAGGTTGCCGGTGATTGGAAAGCTGGATCTCTTGGAACCACGGGATTCGAGCCAGACGTCTAATCGTTGGCCGTGGTCTTCATGGTTTCGAATTCCTTTGATCCCGCCTAGAGTAGTTCATGTAGTTGCTGAAGTCGTTCGGTCTGTTCTTGGTTGAATTGGTTCAAAGGGACCCGAAGTGCTCCGGTAGGTCCTAGGTGACAATCAACACCAAAACCAAATCGTCGAAGATATAAGTACAAAACGGCCGGCAGTGCAACAAGAAGGGGAACGAGATCAAAAATGGTGTCTTTCTTGATTCACCTTCTTGAAAAATGGCAGGTCGTAGAATGCTACCTTTGTGTCCTAAGCTTGTCGGAACAATGGCCAAGTGTGACGTCGTCGAAATTCCGTTGATTGATCTAAACCGATGTTCTTGAGGGACGGTTCCAATGTCCAACGAGCTAGGGATGTGATTGGCCAATCTCAACAAGGTGTCTGTCCCAACAGCCATCCGTTGACAACCAATATCAATTGTAGCGCAGCCATCATCATGCACACTGCTCTCCATATCCCTCTATACCCTTACCAATAGCAACGCATTGGACCTTATATCGGGAATAAGATGTGTGCTTCTGTCCAGCTGCAGAGTGGGAGCTGGATACCACTGCAAAACACTCGATTTCCGATCACCCTCCGGCTCAGTCGGGCTCTTACTCGATGTAGTTGAGGTCACCGTCGGAGGCATCAATGAATCTTTCTTCACGCCCATCTCGACGACGATGCCCTCTCGCTCCATGAAATCTTCTGGTGATTCATAGGTCTCGTAAAAGTGGCGAATTTGTTCGCCATAGATCTCCTAGTCAAGCTGTTCGTCAGGATCCCCCATGCGGAAGAATTTTTCGTCGTTGAAGTCCTTCATATCATCTTCCATCGCGGGTTCTGTAATCTCTAGGTGTCCACAGAAGAAGGCTTCTTTTGATTATTCCTCCTTAATCTTCTCCATATAGTAATTCTACTTCGGATGGTTCTTTCCACGGTCTTTGCCATCAGGACATTCTCTATACCAATATGCCCAATGTCCCATTCGCTTGCAGATGGCACATCCCGGCGTCATGCCTTCTCCATGTCCTTAATGTCGTCCAGCGCCTTCATGGCGCCCTCCATCCATTTCACTTCCATCATTAAGAAATTAGATGGAATCGTCCATCCCGCGAAAACACCCTCGAATTTTGCGCTCCACTACCATTATGGATCATAAATAACGGTTATTTTCTGCCAACCACAAAATCATTATCCCGACTTAAACCACGGCATTCGTGGCTATCTTTAATATATTTCTCATTTGTGCGTTTCAACCAATAAAAAAAAAAATAGAGAATAGAATCACTTTTAATTAATATATAATTATATATTTTTTTTTTAATATTTATATATATTTAATTTCAATAATAAAATATATTAATAAATAATTTCAATATTTCATCATCAATTTTATAAAATATATATATTATTTCGAAAAAATAATAATCATATTTTAAATATAGAAATCATTCATAATTTATTTCCAATATTTTCGTTAATGTTTGTTTTTATATAATATTATATATATATAAATATATGAATAATTCAATTGCATTGTTCTTTAAATTCCTTTTCCTTGGAAATTGATGTTTCTGGTCAACGTACCAAGGGTGATACGAATGTGTTATTACGATATATCTATTTAGTGCGTATTGTATATGTCTCTATGTCTTTGAAAGGAGAATAAACATCTATATAGTTATCACATTGATTTTGAACAATTGAATAATTGCAACAATTGGTGTTCGTGGTTGCATGGGCCATATATCACAATGTTAGGAGGCTTTCTGCTCGCAGGGTTGCCAAACCCTTTAAGTACACCCCTCACTTTGTGGGTTTTCGCCTTGGTGACAAGAAAATTGGAAAGACAAGCGTGTGCCAAGCGAAGTCAGCCAAACAGGAAAGTGTACTGTAAAATCGACAAGGCTCATGAATGAAAAATTTCTTTGATGAGTGAAACATAAAATTAAATAACATATCATTGGTGCAGTGCAAATATCCAGGATGCGGACCGCATCAGAAGCTCGTACATAAGCGTGGGCTCCTCCACGCAGAATCCGTCTCACGTTCAGAGCGCAGCATCCAAGGCCAAGACCCAAGGGATAAAATACTAGTACCTTCTTGTTACGAGTAGAAATGGCCTCCAACCTAATAGCGATGGCCTAACCTGGTAGCTTCTTGTTACTAGTACAAATGGCCTCCAACCTAATAGCGATCGCCCAGCTCGTTACTAGTAGAAATGGCCTCCAACCTAATAGCGATGGCCCAACCTG